GTGACATTCTTTGTCTCTTCTAATTAATTTAGGTTTGAAGTCTACTTTAAGTATAGTGACTCCTGTTTGTTTTCAGGGACCATTAGCTTGATAAATCTTTTTCCACCCTTTCACCCTAAGTCAGTGTTTGTTTCTGTTTGTGAGGTAGGTCTCTTATAAACACTAAATTGTTGGGTCCTTTCCTTTTTTAATCCAACTTGCCAACAGACGTCTTTTGAGGGTGGAGTTGAGGACATTAACATTTCATGTTAATATTAAGGGTTCTATAAGGTGATTCTTGACTTTTTGTTTTTGTTTTGTGTGTATAAGGGTTTGTGCATGTGCAATTGATTATATGCTACTCTGTAATTACTTGTCTGCTCTTCTCTTGAGGTTTAGTAATTCTCATCCTGTCATGGCCATGTTTATTTTCATCATCTATGCATAGGATTCCTTTGAGTATCTTCAGGAGTACTGATTGTTTATGCATTGTTTTTATTTCTCTTTATCATGAAAAGTTTTTATTTATCCTTCAGTTATAGAAGATAGCTTTGCTGGAAAGAGTATCCTAGGTTCGAAACTGTTTTAATTTCTTCTATTACCTCACTCCATGACTTTCTTGCTCTTAATGTTTCTCTTGAGAGATCTTTTATTTTGATGGGTTAACCTGTTATTTGATTTTTCTCTGTTACGGCCTTCAATGTTCTTTCTTTGTTCTTTGTGCTAATTATTTTAACATTTAACATTTAAATATGCCATGGATATGTTCTGTTTTGGTCATGTCTCTTTGGTGTCCTAAAGATTTCCTGTGTCTAGATGGACATCTCTTTCTTGGGATTTGAGAAGTTTTCTGCTGCTATTTTGGTGTTATGTTTCCTATACCTCTTGTCCTTCTTCAATGCCCATGATTCATAGATTTGGTCTTTTGACAGTGTTTCAGTGTTCCTGCATATTCCTTTCACAACTCTGCAATCTTTTCTCTATGTATTCTGTTTTTTCTTTAATATCTATTTTGTTTTCAGGTGCTGAAATTTCATCTTCCACTTGTTCCAGTCTACTGGAGTGGCTTTCAAGTATAATTTTTACTTGATTTAATTTGGTTTTACTTGTTTCCAGGATTTGTTTGATTCTTTTTTTAGACTTTACATATTTTATTAAGTTCCTTTTTTACATTTTTATTTCCTTCTTTATTTCATTTATCTTTTTTAAAAATAGTATTCTTGATTTCATTCTAATGTTTGTTTAAATCCTCTTTGAGTTCACTTAGTTGTGTCTTCCCACTGAGTTGTTTTTGCATGTCCTCTAAGCTCCTTAAAAATTCTTAATCATTCTTTTGACCTCAGAAACAGGTTCCATCCCACTCACTTTCTACCAAATCCTCTATTTTGTGATTGTTAGCCTTTTGAGGAGTCATAGTCCCCTCTCTTTTCCTGTTCCTCATGCCTCTATTTTGCAATTTGTTCATGTTTTGTTGATCAGTTGTTTGAATTTTAATCATCTGTTATCTTTCCCTTGACTTAATTTCTATCTTTGGCTAACTTGGTTGTGTACTTTCTGTTCATTGACAGGAGGTATAACCTAGCAATACAGATTCACAGATTCAATGCTAAACTCGGTATTTAGATGGTATATAATACCTTTGGCAGTATTATCTCTAAATGGGGGGTGTAGTGAGGAAATAGAAGTTGTTTGCATAGAGACTAATACTTATGTAATAAAAATGATCGGAATAGAAGAGAGACAAGAAGGAGGAGGGATGAGGAGAGGAGGGGGATAAGAGGTAAGAGGTATGAGATATGGGGACTATAGGGTAATTAAGCCCTAATGTGTGTAAAGGTAAAATTTAGTTATTGTGAGGGAGGGTATTATTTTCAGAGTCTCCAGAAGGATACAAAGGATGGGAGTAATATATAAAGTTAGTATAATAGACTACTCTGTGATTGGTTTATGCAGAGGAAATAGAAACAGTGGAGGGGAAGGGAGCAGAGGAGAGGAAGATAGGAGAGAGAAGGAAGAAAAAAAAGAACAAATGTGGAGGAGAGAAAATAAATGTAACAAAAGATGGCTAGGCAAATTAAAATTTCAACAGAATGGAAAAAGAGATTATATATAGTTCATATTTCTTCCTTGTGCCGAGAAATGGATTTCCTCTGTATTCAGTAAATGCACTGGGCACTCCTCTCCAATTTGTAATCCTCAGGTTTTAGTCTGCTGCTCTTATTCTGGATGTTTTCCCTATAGACAGGGGCTTTTTCTGGGTCTCACCCCTCCTTAGGATAGATATGCTGGCTGGGTGGCAATTGGTGGTGTCCCTCTCTACCAGAAACGTTTTGGGTGAGTTCCACTTAAGATGTTTAAGCACAGGCTCCTTTTGCAGGGTAGAGACAGTCTGCTGGAGTGGTTTTCAACTGTACTTTTTACTTGATTTAAGGAACCTTTTGTTCCCAGGTTTTCTGTTTGATTCTTTTTTTTTTTTTGAGATTTTCCATATCTTTGTTAAGTTCCTCTTTCACATCTTATACTCCTTCCTTATTTTATTTCTTTTTTAAAACTTTCTATGGTTTCATTTTGGTGTTCGTTGAAATCCTTTGGGTTCATTGAGTTGTTTTTGTACGTCCTCTTTAAGCTCATTAAGCATTCTTATCATCATCCTTCTGACCTCAGCATCTGAGGATTCATCCTGTTCACTCTCTGTCAAACCCTCTATTGTGTGATTGTTAACCTTTTGAGGAGTCATATTCCCAAGACTTCTTTTATTTCCTATGTTTCTATTTTGAGATTTTCTCATGTGTTGTTGATTATTTGAAATCATTATTTGATTATTTGTTTGGAGGTTTTAATCACCTGTTATCTTTCCCTTAACTTAATTTCTGTGCTTTGGCTAGTTTAGTTGTTAGCTAGGTTGTTATATTATTTTGTTCACTGACCTGGAGGTATAACTTAGCAATAACAGATTCACAGATGTAATGCCAAGCCAGTTATTTACACAGCATATAAAACCCTATAAACAGAGAGTATTGGAGAAATAACAGGTGTTTATTAGGTAATTAAAATGATGGGGGTGGAAGAGGAGACAGGGAGGAGGATACAGCATGGTGTAGAAGTGGTATGGGGTATGGGGGCTATGGAGTAGTAAGGTCCTAGGATGTGTGTAAATGTGTAGTTCAGTGGTTGTGGAGGAGAGTGCTATTAGGGATTGCAGAGAGATAGAAAGGATGTGAGTAATATGTGAAGGTAGTATAATAGACTGCACAGTGAGTGGTTAGTGCAGAGGAGATAGGGACAGTGGGGTGAGGGAAATGGGGAGGAGCAGAACATAAGGAGAGGGAAAGAAGAAAAAGAAGAAAGAAAAAATCAGGAGAAAAAGAAGGTAGAACAAGAGAGGGCTAAGCAAATTAAAATTTCAAGAGAATGGGAAAAGATTAACAAAAATTCATGCGTATATACATATATGAATTATACACACATATAGATACATATATATACACACATATATACATATATTCCAAAATTTGTTCCTTCTTATGAAAAGGAGTGGGTTTCCTCTTGAGTTCAGTAAGTGCACTGGGCTTTTCCCTCTGATTTCTAATCCAGGTGCTGTCTCTTCTTAGGGTTGATAATACTCATCTGTGTGACAATCCATGATGCCCCTCTCTACTGGGTAGGTTTTTGGGGTGTTCCACTCAAGGTGTTTAAACCCAGGTTCTTGGTGGATGGGTCATCTATATCAGCTTGTTTGAGTAAGCAAGTTCTCCAAAGTGGTCCTGCCAGGAGCTAATATCTGAGCAGTGTCTATCCACTTCCACCAACAGGGCAAGCCTGGGATCTGGAATTGAGCTGTTTGTTTGAATGCTCTTTTCTGGGAAGGCATTTAGTTTCAGTTCACTACCATTTCTCCAAGATGGTCAAATGTGTTATTTTCCCCAAGCTGGCACTGGGGCACCCCTCCCCCATACAGGCTGGACAGCCCAGCAATTTATAGAGAAAGTCCCGCTGGGTTACCCATCCCCTACTGGGGGAGCTGGAATTTTCCCTCTGTTTATTAGGCCAGTAGCTTTGTCCACGAGAGGTGCAATCTGCCTGCAAGGTGCACTGGACTGTGATTTCCTCCAGAGCAGATAGTGCAGCATGCTAATCTGAAAGAGTTGTAGTTTCCCTTGGTGGTATCCGGAGTCTGCAGCCTTGGTCCCAGTCAGGTAACAATCAGAGATTCCACGTCCATGAATTTTGGTGGGTCTGGGACAACCCAAGTGCTTTCAGAACTCATTCTACAGTTCTCTGCATTGAGTTTTTGCTTTTCGGAGAGAAGAAAAAAAGAAAAATGAAAAGGAAAAAACACTCTAGCATACTGGTGTGGCATCCAGCAGTTGCAGTTCCCTGACTTCTTGGGCCATTATGTACTATAAAAAGTTTATTTAAAGGTTTGTTGTTGTAAGTTAGTTTGCCTATGAATTGGCAATATTTTGGTGAAGAAGGCAGGTTCCCCAACCCTTGCTGTCACAAACCCAAGAGCTCAAAGTTCAAGGGTCTATCACGTAGACCCTTGGTCTCTCAACTTCAGTATTTTCTGTCTGCGTCTTTTTTTTTTGGTGGTACCAGGAATTGAACTCAGGGCCTCACACTTGCTAGGCAGGCCCTTTACCACTTGAGTCACTCTGCCAGCCCTTTATTATGTTGAGTGTTTTAAATATAGGGTCTTGTGAGCCATTCGTCCGTGGTAGCTTTGTATTGCGATCTTCCTGATCGCTGCTTCCTGAGTTGTACCACTACAGGTGTGAGCCACCAGCACTGGGCTTTAAGAATCTTTTTTGGAAGGAAATTCTGCCTTTTTCTGGTTCTGGTAAAACACAAAGAAGTAGCTGCTGAGATAGTGTAGAGCCAGGAAAGAAAAGGTTAAAAAAAGGATAGAGAATCAGTTTTGGATTATTTCCAGTTACTTATTTCTATTCTTTAGTCTTTCTTTTTTAATACAGTCTTTTGATACTGAATTTCTGAGGGTTTGTTTTGTTTTTGCTTTCTAGGTGATGGGAACTGCAGTGACACTAGAGGCTTAGAAATTGCGGTAAACCAACGTGTTGATGATGCACTCACTTCAAAACTTCCAATGTTTTACTTGGTCAACAGACCTCACATTAGCTTAGTACCTTCTGCATATCCACTTCAAATAAACTTGGACTATAAATCCCTGAGTATGAATTGGGCACAAGGAGATATTTCTTTGGAAATTGTGGATGGCCTAAGTGGCAAGATCACTGAAAGGTTGTAATTACTAATTTCTTTAAAAATCATTTATTAAACAAAGGCATTTTATTACAGTTTTTCTTCTACCTTTTTTGCATACTATTTATTGAATTCCAGACAATAATTATTGTTGAGTGTTTCTATGTTATAGGCATCATACTAATTAAAAACATTTTTTTTCTGTTGAGAAAACAGTTGTGGAGAAGTTGAATAGTTTACTGAATTTACATAATAAGTGGAGAAGCCAGCATTCAAACCCAAGGAGTCTTCCTTATAGCAGAATAATACTCAACTGTGTATATATACTACATTTTCTTAATCCATTCATTAATTGTGGAGAATCTGGGCTGTTGCCACTATTGTGAATAGTACTGCAATAAAAATGGGTGTGCAAGTGTCTATTGTATCCTGAAGCACATTACTTCGTGTATATGCACAGGGTGGTACAGCTGGATACTATGGTAGTTCTATTTTCAGTTTTTTGAAGAACCTCCTTACTGCTTTCCATAGTGGTTGCACTAATTTACATTACCACCAACAATGTATAAGAGTTAATTTTTCCCCTGCATCCTCACCAGCATTTGTTGTGTGTGTTATTGATGATAGCCATTCTGACTGAAGTAAGGTAGAATATCAAATGTCATTCTGATTTGCATTTCTTCATGTATTTATTGGCTATTTGTACTACTACTTTTGAGAATTGTCTTTTCAGTTCATTTGCCTATTTATTCAGTTGGTTTGATTCTTTGTGAAGTTTGTTTTTTGAGCTCTGTGGATAGTCTGGTTATTAATCCTTTGTAAGATGAATAGCTGGCAAATATTTTCTACCATTCTATAGGCTGTCTTTTCAGCCTGGTGACCATTTCCTTTGCTGTGCAGATGCTTTTTAGTTTCATGCAATCCCATTTTGTACTGGCTATGGGTTTTCCCAGTATAGTACCATGTGAATTAAAAGCAGAGAATGGTGTCTTTGCTGTATGTGAAAACCTTACTATGTTAATGCCAATTAGTTAATTTGTAGATCTTTTCTCTTAATTCCTGAGTTATTGGAGTTCTGTTGATAAAGTTACTACCTTTACCTATATGAACCAATGTATTCCCTATTTTTTGCTGGAGTAATTTCAATTTCTGATCTTACATTAAGGTGTTTAATACTGTACTAAATTTAAACTGTAAGATAAATTAGCTTCGGAAAATAAGTATCTACAATGCTTTTTTATATTAAAAAAGTCTCACTACATTCATTACATGTAATTGGGATCAATAAATATTTGTAGACTTATTTTAATCACTATAATTGACAAAATTTATCATTAATGGATACTGAATGTTTCACTTGTTTCTATTTTAGTTCCCCATTTAAAAGTGGTGTGTCAATGGCAAGTCGGCTTTGTAAGGCTGCAATGCTAAGTCGATTTAATCTGCTTGCCAAAGAAGCTAAAAAAGATGATTTACTGGAAGCTAGTACATATCATGCAGCCAAGGTAAGATACATTTTTCTTTTTTTTTTGGTAGTACTGGAATTTGAACTCAGAGCCTTGCACTTGTCTCACACATCACCATGGGGGGCTCATTGATTGAGATGGGGTCTCACTAACTTTTTACCTAGGTTGGCCTCAAACCACCATGCTCTTGATCTCTGCCTTGCCCTTAGCTGGGATCACAGAGGTGAGCCACTGAGACCAGCCTTAATATTTTAATATAAGAATATTATTTTAGCTTCTTCTCATGTATGTATATATTTTAAGGTACTAAAATATATTATGTATGGTATGTTTTCTAATGATTTTATTAGCATATAATAGTTGTATGGGGGGATAAATTGTGATATTTACATATGTGCTTATGCTATATCTCAGTTAGATTTACCCCCTCCATCATTCTCCATCTTCCCCTCTTCTCCCAGGTTTCATTCTTCTATTTGTATATATGGATATGAAATATAGTCACCATATTCCCCTTCACTCCCCCTTACCTTTGTTCCCACCCCTCTCCACTGGTACCCACCCCAGAAAAGTATTTTTCCCTAATGCCCTTAATTTTTTAAATTAAGTATTTATTGACAGTCCCAGGGGGTTTCTCCTGGGTGCTTAGTGTCTGTAAATATTATGCTTTTATCATATACCTCCTCCCCGCCATTACTTACTTGTTCTCTATCACCATGCTCCCCTAATGTTCAACAGCTTACTGTACAGTGCATTATATTCCTATATAGGTGGGTTGTTTCAGTATTTTTCATTCCTAACATTTTTTATCTCTCCCACCTCCTGGAACCCCTTCAGACAGATTCATTTATACAATTTTGTTCTGTCACTATCTATTCATCTCGTATATGATATATATGTTTCTATGTATACATTTAACTTACAAGTCTGGTTACCACCTATGAGAGAAAACAGGCAATCTTTGATTTTTTGAGCTTGGCTTACTTCACTTAACATGAAGTTCTCCAATTCCATCCAGTTACCTTCAAATAACACAATTTCATTCTTGTTTATGGGTGAATAAAACTCCATTGTATGTGTATGTATATGTATGTATGTGTGATATATATATATATTTTCTTAATCCATTCATCATTTGTGGGACATCTTGGCAGTTTCTAAAGCTTGGCTGTTGTAAACAGTGCTGCAGTAAACATGGGTGTGCAGATGGCTCTATCATCCTGGAGTACATACATTCTTTCAGATATATGCCTAGGAGTGGTATCACTACATGGTAGTTCTGTTTTTAGTTTTTGAGGGACCTGCATATTGTTTTCCATAGTAGTGACACTAATTTACATTTCCACAAACAGTTTGTAAGTGTTGCTTTTCCCCCACATCCTCATCAGTATTTTTTGTTGTTTTTGTTATTGGCAATTGCCATTTTGACTGGGGTGAGGTAGAATCTCAGTGTAGCTTTGATTTATATTTCCTTTATGGCCAAGGATATTGAGCATTTCTTCATATGTTTATTGGCCATTTATACTTCTTTTGAGAATTGTCTGTTCATTTTATTGGCCCATTTATTCAGTGGGCTGTTGGTTCTTTGAGAGGTTAGTTTTTTAAACTCCCTTATATTCTGTCAGATGTATAGCTGGTAAAGATTTTCTCCCACTCTGTAGACTGTCTCTTGAATCTGGTGACTATTTCCTTTGCTGTGCAGAAACTTTTAAGTTTAGTATAGTCAGTACTTCTTTTAATTGCTGAGCTACTGGACTTCCATTCATAAAGTTATTACCTGTGTGGTCTAATGAGCTCCCTATTTTTTTCTGGATTAATTTCTTTGTTTCAGATCTTACATTACCATCTTTAATCTATTTTGAATTGATATTTATACAAGGTGAGAGACTGGGATCTAGTTTCAGTCTTCTGCAGGTGGCAATCCAGTTTTCCCAGGACCATTTGTTGAAGAGGCTATCTTTTCTGCAGTGCATATTTTGGGCACCTTTGTCAAAAATCAGATGGCTGTAGTTGCATGAGTTTGTCTCAGGGTCTCCTATTCTGTTTTTGTGCCACTACCATACTGTTTGTATTAGCGTGGTTTTGTACGATAGTTAGAAGTCAGGTATTGGCTATTTGTGGTCTTTTGTGCTTCCATATGAACTTTAAGATTGACTTTTCTACCTCAATGAAGAATGTCATTGGAATTTAGATAGGGATTGCACTGAACATACAGATTGCTTTTGGTAGTAGAGACATTTTCACAATATTGATTCTGCTGATCTATGAGCATGGGATGTCTTTCCATTCTCTGAAGCCTTCATTGATTTCTTTAGTGACTTGTAGTTTTCATTGTATAGGTTGGTCACCTCCTTCGTTAAGTTTGTTCCTAGGTATTTTAATTTTTTGAAGCTGTTGTCGATGGTATCATTTTCCTTATTTCTATTTTAGACTATTCATTGTATATAGAATTCAACTTTTTTCATTCAGTAAAACACACCTGTATGTCCATATCATTATTATATATGTTCTTTTAATGATCTAATTTTAATTTTAATAATACAGTATTGTATGAAAGCTTCTTAATTGCATCAGCATCTTAATAGTCAAGCTATAATTTTAACCTATAAAAAAGTTACATTAACTACAGCTGTGTGTATATACATTACCCACATATTTTTAAGTATAAAAGTTTATCTAGATCATTTCTGAGTTTGGTGGCATAAATAGATTGCAGATCTCTGTAAAAACAAATATAAAATTGGGGGAGATTGTCAAAAACATCCTTTCACTACTCTGGATTTAATGAATGGCAGCCAAAATAAATTTTATTTTTCAAAAACTGCTGTAATTTTGGGTAAAAATAAAGGGTTTATGTTTTTCTGGCCCCAGGCTGTCCCCATTTTCTGTCATTCCTCTCTAGTTTTAATGGTAATAACTGTAGTTTTGCAAGAATGAAGCTACCTCAAAGAGTTTCATAGATTTTCTGCTGCCAAAAGGTGGTAGACTTTATTTAAGACAGGAGATGAAATTTTGTGGTTTTTGTCTTAAAGTTTCTTAAAGTTTAAAGTGCCAAACGTGGCAGGAAATGTATAGGGAAAACAGGTAACTTGGCTGGTACAGGTTATAGCTGTGGTTGAAAGCAAGTAGTAGACCAAATAACAGCTTACCAGAAAGATTTTGAAAATCAAAGAGCCAAGGATAGGCTGGGATAAGATCTCTACATTCTCTGGCTGACTGAAAAACTATACTTTTATGTACAGAAGAGATTAAAGAAAGTGCAGTAAGTAATAAAAGTCAAGTAATACTTGAGAACTGGCTGAAGCATTACATATACGCCCACATATGGATTGATCAGAAATGGTGCAAGATTAATGTGTTTGTGTACAAAGTCTGCTAAAATCAGTTATTTGGGCTTCCAACCTCAGGAAGATATAAAAAGAAGATCAAAAATCCTTGTATGCACATATGAATAATAAAAGAAAAATGAAAGAAAAAAAAAAAGAAAAAATTAACTTAGAAGGTATTACACATGCTCAGGGAATCAATTCGAGTCAACTCCCTGTATAGCTATCCTTATCTCAACTAGCAAAAACCCTTGTTCCTTCCTATTATTGCTTATACTCTCTCTTCAACAAAATTAGAGATAAAGGCAAAATAGTTTCTGCTGGGTAACAAGGGGGTAGTGGGGGAGAGGGAGGGGGAGGAGCATGAGGGGGGTGGGGGAAGGGGGGAGAAATGACCCAAACATTGTATGCACATATGAATAAAATAAAATTTTTTAAAATTAAAAAAAAAAAAAAGTAAGTAAAAGGGAGGAATTATCTTAGGTAAGAATGGAAATCAGTGTAATTAAAACCAAAATATTAGAAGAAAAAAAGAAGACAGTCAAAAGTTGGTTTTTCAGAAAAAAATCAACAAACTTAGTAATCCTTTAACTAGATTTACAGAAAATAAAATAAGTGAGAACACAAATTATCAAAATCTGAAATAAAAGAAGAGTCATCACCTAGTTCTCAAGAACCTAAAGTTATTCTGTAGGCTTTCAAAGAACCTCTTTTGCCAACATGTTAGATAGGTTTGATGGAATGGATACTTGCCAGAAAGACAAATTACAAAAACTAACTCAAAAATAAATATAATGTCCAAATAACTTTAGCAGTTTAGAAAATTTGTATTATTAACTAAAATTCTTTCCAAAATAAAATACTGGACATATCACATATATGGCTTCAATGGTAAATTCCACCAAATATAATAAAAATATAATACAAATCCTACAAAATCTCTTTCAAAAATAGAGAACACTTCCTAATTCATTTTACAAGGCCAGTATTACCCTGATACCAAAAATCAACTAAAAATGAAAACTATAAACCAATATCTCTTATCAATATAAACTCTTAGCACAACATACTAACAAACAAAATCCAGTAACATACAAATACAAAAAAAGGTTACACTCTGTGTGTTTATACTAGAATGCAAGGTTGATTTAATATTAGAAGGTTATTTTATGTAATGCACCATTAAAATAAATTCAAGGTCAAAACCCACATTATTATCTTAAAAGTTGTACAAAATGTATTTGACAAAGTCCAACATCCATTCACAATAAAAATGCTGAACAAATAAGAAATGGAAGTGGTGTCCTCAACTTAAGAGCATCAATACAGATGTTGATGCTCAAAAGATCAATAAATAACCTAATACTGATGTTATTCTTAATAGTAAAAGATTGAATTAATATTAACTGCACCACCCAAGATTGGGTAACAAGGAAAGAATGTTGGCTCTCACCACTTGTATACATTGTTCTGTTTGTCCTAGTTAGTGCATTAAATCAAGGAAGAGGTAAAAGGTATTCATACTAGAAATAAAGAGTAAAATGTGTCCTCATTTATTTTTCCCTAATTCTTAAATGACTTAATTTTGTAGGTAAAATTTTTCTTTTGGAATATACTGAAAAATAAATAACTATGATCATATATGAACTTAGCAAGATCACAGTATAAGATCAATATAGAAATATATCTATATTCTAGAAATATAAAATAAAATTGAGTAAGAGTTCATCTATATAGCCCCAAACACACAAACACACACACACACAAAGAAATGAATAAATTTAATAAAAGACCTGTACACTGGAAATGGTTAAAAAAAAAAGAGGAAAATTAAAGAAAACCTAAGTCAACAGAGAGGTATACCACATTCATGGATTGGAAAACTCAGAGTAATGATTGCTAAGGGGGGCAGTGCTGGGGGAATTTCTTAAAATATTGCAGTGGATTTTGTCACATCAATTTATACTTCATGAAAGGTGATACTGTAGCATGTGATATTCATTGATTGCATTTTATCCTAAATAGAACTTTGGAAATTGGAGTCAATCCTCTCAAACACTACCACTGCTTCATTAACTAAATTAAATAATACTCTATGTCCTTGTTATTTCAACAATGTTCATAGCTTCTTCAGCAGGAATAGATTCCATGTCAAGAAATCACATTCTGTGATCATAAGCACAATTTTTCATCTGTTAGCTTTTATCATGAAATTGAAGCAATTTGGTCACATCTTCTGGTCTCCACTTCTATTATAATTCTCTTGCTATTTCTGCACATCTACACCTACTAACTATAATGAAATCTTGAACTCTTCAAAAAAATTCATGTAACACACACCTGTAATCCCACCATTGAGGTGGCGGAGGCAGCAGGATTGCAAGTTTCAGGGCAGCTTGTACTCTATAGTGAATACAAGGCCAGCCTGGACTACCTTGTAAGACCTTGACTCTAGAGAAATGTGTTTCTTAAATAATAAACCCTGAAAACCAGAAGTACTCCTTGATTTATGGGCTGCACAATGGATGTTGCGTTATCAGGCATAAAAATCACATTAATGTTGTTGTAACTCCATCAGAGCTTTTAGGCAACCAGATACATTGACAAAGAACAGTGATACTTTAAAAGTAGTCCTTTCTTTTCCTAAGTAGTAGGTATCAACAGTAGGCTCAAAATCTGTAGTAAACCATATTGTAAACATACATGCTGTCACCCAGGCTTTGTTCTTCCATTTATAAACCACAAGCAGAGTAGATTTAGTGTAATTCCTAAGACCATTTTATGGTCAGAGTGTTAAATGGACATTAGCTTCAACATAAAGTCAAGTAGCTGTGCTAGCCCTACCAAAACAGTCAGCCTGTCCTTTGAAGCTTTAAGCAAAGCATTCACATCTTTTCTTGAAGTCCTGAGTGGCATCTTCTAATACAAGGTTGTTTCATCTGTACTGAAAAATCTGTTGTTTAGTGTAGTCACAATCATCATTTATAACTAGATCTGGATAATTTGCTTTTGCTTCTCCATTAGCACTTGTTTCATCCCATACTTACATGTTATGGATTTGGCTTCTGTTTTTTTTTTTTTTTTGAACCTCATGAACCACTCTTTTCCAGATTCAAAATTTTCTGCTGTAGCTTCCTCACTGCTCTCAGCCTTCATAAAGTTAGGGCCTTGCTCTGGACTAGGTTTTTGTTTAAGAAAATGTGATCTGTTCAGACCACTGAAATTTTCTTCCTGTCAGCCAGCATTCAGGCTGGTTTGCTTTCTTAACATTCGTGCATTTGCTGGAGTAGTCCTTCAAGAACTTTTCCTTTGTATTCACAGCACAGCTGAGTGGTACAAGATGCCTAGTTTTTTGCCTTTTTGTTGTTGTTTCACGTGCTTTCCTCACTAAGCTTAATTATTTCTAGTGTTGTTTTAAAGTAAGGGACATGTGACTCTTCCTTTCATTTGAAGACTTAGATCATTTGCCTCATTTCAATATTTTTGTGTCTAGAAAATAGGGAGTGAGATAAAGGATACAGCCAGTCAGTGGAGTAGGCAGAACGTGTGCAGCATTTATCAATTTATTTCACTGTCTTACATGGGTGCATTTCATGGCACCTCAAAACAATTACAGTAATATCATCAAAGATCACAGATCATTGCAACTTCTAATCATAATGAAAAATTTTGAAATATTGCAAGAATTAACAAAATGTGACAGAGACATGAAGTTTGCAAATGCTTGCCCTGTGCAGCGTTGCCACAAACCTTCAGTTTGTAAAACGCATAGTATCTGTAAGCCAAGTAAAGCAAACCGCAATTAAATGAGATATGCCTGTATAAATCAAGAGTAAGAAAAACAATATTGATACCATGGTAGACTTATAGACCAGCTGAACAGGAAGAAACTCAAATACACATGACCAGTTGATTTTGTACAAAAGTGCCAATATATTTCAATGAGAGAAAGAATAGTCTCAATAGATAGTGTCAGAATAGTGTGTATATTAGTCCATTTTCTATTACTGTAACAAAATACCAGTGCTTGGAGCTTATATACAAAAGAGGCCTATTTAGCTCAAATTTTTGGAAAAACAACATAATGCTGGCTTGAATGAGGACTCCCTGTGCTGAATCATATCACAACAGATAGTATCTTGGTGGAGGCACATATGAGAAGGAGAGATCATGTGAAAAGACAGGAAACCAAAGTAGCTTGAGAAGGGACAGGCTTGTTCTTTTATCACATCAATCGCCTGATAACTAACCAGGGTCCTAAGAGAACAATTCCTTCTGATTACAGCATCCTTAATAAACTCGCATTAGACTCTTAACTCTTAAAGGTCACATTTCTACTTAACATCACCACACTGGGGAGTAATATTCCAACACATGAGCCCTTGAAGGACAAACTCAAATCAGATCTAAACCATAGAAGTTGTAAACAAAAACCCAGCTTAGATCCTTATGTCAATCACACACAAAAATTAATTCAAAATAGATCAACTTATAAGAGCTATGCTGTTATGTTTTCTAAATAAAATGTGGAGAAATATTTACATTCTTAGGGAAAGTTTTCTAAGATTTGGCACCAAAAACAATCTATCAAGGAAAAACTTGATTATTGACTCTAATATAAAAAACTACTTTCCATAAACGATTAAGAAAATTAAAATATAGCCCACAGACAGAACATACTTGTAAATCATAACTTGATAAAGGACTTAGATCCACAATATATAAACAACTCTTATGACTCAATAGGCAAATAACCCAATTCTTAAAAGAGCCAAAGAAAATACACGTATGCAACCAAAAAAACACATTAAAGTGCTCAGCCTCATTAACCATTAGGGAGATGAGAAATTTAGCCACTGCATCTGCTGAAATTCAAAAAACTGATCATACCAAGACATTGTTGAGAATGTGGGGAAACTCATGCATTTTCAGCGAGAATGAAAAAATGATGCAAACTACTTTGGAAAAGTTCGGTGGTTTTTTGTTTTGTTTTTTTACTGAGATAAACATACTTACCATGTGATCTAGCATTGCTACTGGTATGTGTGAGAAACAAAATTTAACATTCACATAAACATTCTTTGTGAATCTTTATAGCGGCATTTTGATAGACAAAAACTGTAAATGATGCAAATGTTGATAAGTTGATAAATGCGTGAACAAGATGTGATATGTCCATGCAATGGAATATAATCAGAAATAATAAACTACTGATGCATGAAACAATATGAATAAATTAAAAAGAAAGTTAACACAACCAGGGTACATATTGCGTTAATCCATTTATATGAAATTTCTAGAGCAAGCAAAACTCTAGAGACAGAAAGATTTGTGGTTGCCTGGGCCTGGGGCTGAAGACAGGCATATAGATTGACCACAAGTGAGCACATTGGAAGATTTTAGCGGTGATGGATTTGTTTTATAACTGGACTGTGGTATATTTACACACCTCAATAAATTTACTAAAAATCATCCAACCGTACCCTTACAACTGGTAAGTTTTATGGTGTATAAATTATGCTTCAGGAAAAGTGGAGTTTTTTGATAGTACTGGGATTTTAAGTTGCTAGGCAGGTACTCTACTACTTGAACCATACTCCCAGCCCTTTTGATTTGGTTATTAGGGAACATGGTCCCAGTTTGTGCTGTACTGTGATCCTCCTGTTCTATTCTTTCCATGTAACTGAGATGACAGGCACATACTACCATGTCCCAGCTATTGGTTGAGATGGGATTTCACAAACTTTTTGCCAGTGCTGGCCTCTTAAGTGTGATCCTCATGATACCACTTCCTAGCTGGGATTACAGTTGTTAACTAGTGCACCCAGCTAAAGTAAAATTTTAAAAGCTTATCTGTATGTTCCTTTACAGAAAATAAAATAATTCCAAAATATTAAGTTATATATAGTTTTGGGATTATAGGTAATTTTTCTGTTTCTTGCTTTTTAAAAATTTTCTGTGATGAATGTGTTTACTTTTTTAATTAAAATGGTTAAATAAGGAACTGGAGACTTCGCTCAAGAGTGCCCTCCTGCATAGCAAGCACAAGAGTCCTGAGATCAAACTCCAGTAATACCAAAAGAAAACAGTGGTGCAGTCTCAAAAATGTTAAATGAAGTAAAATTGGCTTGTAGGAGTGTTGGGAATAAAAACTTTAAAAATAAATATGAGAAAATAGGAATTTCGTTATTTTTTAAATACAAAGCTGATATTAAGGCCACTTAGTTTTCATAGGTCAAATTCTGCTAATTTGATACAATTTGGTTTTTTTTTCTCTCTAGTGTATGTCTGGATCCTATCAAGAAGCTAAAACTTTATTGAAATCCTACTTACAGCAACATGGCTATGGCTCCTGGATTGTGAAATCTCCCTGTATAGAGCAATTTAGTATGTGAATTAGACATCCATTGTCGTATTAAAAATCTTTTATTTTTTTGTGTGATTTGACTGATTAAAATGTTTATTTTAAATATTGAAGGTTTTCAGCTTTCACAATCAGTCTTGTAATAGTAGCATCCAGATATTGCTAAGATTTGTAAATATTCTTGTTAACTTCCATTGAAACCTTAGGACTTCTTTCCTTCTTTGAAAAAAAATTACCTGATTCCATATATAGATATTTTACAGTTATCTTTATAGACATAAAGCCATTACCATTTCTATAGTTTAAAAGAGAATTCTTTACAAGTTTTTGCCTTAAATTTTATCTGTACAGCTACAGTATTCAACACTGTGTCCTAGTATCTCACTCAATATTTTTAAATTAAAAATGGAAGCCAAGAATAAAAATTTCTTATGCACTTACTGATTACTTCAAAAAGCATTTGAGTGTGTAATATTTTTCAATCACCATGACAGATAATAGTAATAATTAAAACATCATCTCTAAGATCAAATGAATTCATGAATATAAACTGCACATGTAAAATTATGCTAGAATATAGTTTATAAGTTATGATTCATAAAGGATTTTCACATATTCATTAAATAAGATAGCCCACCTTTAAGTGTCCTATAGGATCTGCTCATACCACATGTGATCTAATACTTCATAATTTAGATTGCTAAGAATTTCCAATATGTAGGTAAATAGAAGATGGTTTAGCTTCATATCTATATTTGTTTATACAGTAATTCAAAGGAAGGGGAAAGTTTAAAGACTCTTGAGTTGGGATATGTATCTTTAGTGAAATTGTGAGTTTATCCTGTACTTTAATGTCTTCACCCTATTCCTTGATCATCTATAAAAGATACATTAAAACTTACTGTTTCTCAGAGATCATCCCTCTTATATTATGTATTTACTAAGTTTATGATTTGCACAGCCACCCTATGTGAACTATTATAAACTTTGAGGAGATTGATTTAGGTAGGTTGTTTTGTGTTTTATTCTAAAAGTATGTAGGGTTCAGTTGATGAGCAGTGAAATCATTCTGGAAAGACATAGTGATGCCCTTCAGTGGTCTGGACTCAACTTAGTAATACCAGGATTAGCCCTGTGAAATTGCCTTTTTCATAGATTAAGCAGGATAAAATATAAGCACAAAAATATTAATAAATTTCATTTCAGTAAATTATGATATTTTTTGCTTATTTCTCCAACTTCAGTTTTCTTGTTAACTGTTTTTCAGTCTCTTTACTGTTCAGTTTCATTTTATGACAATTTTATAATCTTTATTTCTATTATTTTACTTCTTTTTGATAGTAAATATACCTTTGAAATTACAAGATATATTTTACCTTGTCTTGGCCCTTGACGTTCATGGCTATTCTTCTTTTAGTTGGCATTTATTAAATGGGTTTTATTTGCCTCTTAAAGTCTGTGTAATTAGTAAAAAAGTCCTACATCTATCTATTTGTCTATCTATATATATGCATGCATGTATACATATATAATTATATGTGATGTTTGGGTTTATGGGAATGAAAGATTATATCTAGGTAGGGCGATCAAGAAAAATGTTATAAAGGATAAAGGAGAGGGCATCTAATAGAAGGCAGTGATTTAGTAGAAGGGTAAGGAGATAGACATGGAATCCAATATTGACCTTTATAACTGGATATTAAATTATTTAATCTGTCCTAGCCTAGGACTTTTATCTTTCAAGGATGAATTTTATACCAGAATTTTCTTTCTTTATTTAGTGATGGAGGTTTATGGGAAGGACTCCCATGCTGCCCTTCAGTACAAGCATCTGCATCTCTTGCTTCTTTCATGTGTTATTATTGAGGTTTACATAATCGTTTACTTAATGACAAACTTCTAAATTCAAACTAATAAGCTTCTACTTTTATAATTGTTCAAAACCCATTGTATCTACCCATAAATCCCCTTTTACCCTTTTATCTGAGACAATCATTGAAGGATGGGTGAAGTTTTGTAGGCTGAAATGGGAAAAAGAATCCATACCATTTGGAAATAATGAAACAAAGATTAGAAAGAAAATGTTTTCAGTGTTCAAAGATAGAATGTGAAGTACTGGATGAAAAACTTAAAAGTTAAATCTGGCAAATGTTCTCAGTTTGGTAGACTGAAAAGAGCCCTTGAAAGATTTTATGTAAGGAAATTAATACATTAAAATTTTTTACATCATTGTTTAGTGCTAGCTGTAGTGGTTTAATGCTCATAATTCAAGCTACTTGGGAACCAGAGATAAAGGCAAGCCTTGGCAAAAAGTGAGACACTATCTCAACCAAAAAAGCTGGGCATGATTGTGCATACCTGTCATTCTAGCTAGATGGGAAGTGTGAGTAGGAGGATTGTGGTCCAGGTCAACTCGCGGTAGAATGTTGGGAATAAACATGAGATCCTATCTCAAACGTAACCAAAGCAAAAAAGGCTAGGAGGATGTGGCTCAAGTGGTAGATCACCTGCTTAGCGAGCACAAGGCCCTGAGTTCAAATATTTCCAAAAGAAAAATATACCATTCTGTAGCATTTTCTTTGTTTATTCATTATGGATATTTTTGAACATGCAAAATCACAGAATAGTAAATGAGTCAGCCCACATATACAATTATATGTATATATAAATTATTAAACACGAGTAATCTTACGTATACCTCCCCAAACTGGATTATGTAGAGCATATATCACATGTTATTTCATCTGAAAATACTCCGATATGTACATCTATGAAAGATAAAGGGCCCTTAAAACACATAAGTTGGGTGTATAACCATAATTCAGTTAATATACCTTAAAAATTAATAGTAAATATCCTATTACAAATTTTATGAAGATTGTTGAAATCAGGATCAAAATTACATTTATATATTCAAATTTGCATGTTAACAAATTTAACAGAAAGCCATATCCTTTTTTGTTGTATTATGAGTGTAATATATATTATTTAATTTTTTTCTTTATTCTTATATTCATATGTGCATACACTGTTTGGGTCATTTCAACTCCCTGCCCTCTCCCTCTCCCCCCACTCCCATGCTTCCAGGCAGAACCTGTTGTGCTCTTTTCTCCAATTTTGTTGAATAGAAGACATAAGCAATAATAAGAAAGACAAAGCATTTTTGCTAGCTGAGGTAAGGATAGCTATACAGAGAGATTCCTAGCATTGCTTCCATGCAGAAGTGTATTACGGGCCGAATTGATTCATCTCTACCTGACCTCTTCACTACTTCCCAGTCACCTTCCCATATTGGCCTCTGTCACTTTAAGGTGTATTAGTATATTAGTTCCTCTGCAGTGGGGACATCACACACTTTTAAGTTTTGGGTTTCCTACCTATCCCCATACCTCCCATATGTGCTCTCCTCTTAGTGTGTGACCCAAGTCCCAACAACATTGCTGCATTTGCCCTAGATCTAAAGTCTGCACATGAGGGAGAACATTTTTGGTCTTCTGAGCCTGACTAACCTCACTCAGGATGATGACCCACTGATCATTGAGCAATGTATTGTTCAGCTTCCAATTGTTTGCATGTTTTCTTCTGTTGTTTTTGTTGTTGAGTTGAATGTATTGAGATCAGATAGAATACATGGGATTATTTCTGTTTTCTTATATTTTTTAAGACTTGCTTTGTGCCCTAAGATATGATCAGTTTTGGAGAATGTTCCATGGGCTGCTGAGAAGAATGTATATTGTATGGAAGTTGGATGAAATATTCTGTAGACATCAGCTAGGTCCATTTGATCTATGGTGTGATTTAGTTCTAGAATTTCTTTATTGATTTTTTTGTGTGGATGACCTATCTCTTGGTGATAGGAGGTTATTAAAGTCTCCCACTACCACCGTGTCAGAGATTATATATGTTTTTAGGTCCTTCAGAGTACGTTTGATGAAATTGGGTGTTCTGACATTGGGTGCAAGTAGGTTGATAATTGTTATTTCCTTTTGGTGTATTTCTCCTTTTATTAGTATGGAGTGTCCTTGTTTATCACATTTGATTAATGTAAGTTTGAAGTCTACTTTGTCTGAGATAAGTATTGCTACTCCTGCCTGTTTTGGGGGGCCATTGGCTTGGAAAATCTTCCAGCCTTTCATGCTAAGCCAGTGCTTATTTCTGACAATGAGATGGGTCTCCTGTAAACACCAGATTGTGGGATCTTCCTTTTAATCCAGTTTGCCAAAAGGTGTCTTTGATGGGGGAGTTAAGTCCTTTAACATTCACTGTTAATATTGACAGGTACGTGGTGATTCCTGTCATTTAGTTGTTTTTGTTGTTAAGGGTTTCGTTGTGCAGCTGAATTAATTTTACTCACTGATTCCTTGTCTTTTCTTCTCCTGTGGTTTGGTGGTGCCTATCCTCTCATGGTTTTGTTTGCTTTCATTTTCTGTTTGTAGAATTCCTTGAAGAATCTTTTGTAGTGGTGGCTTTGTGGTCATACATTGTTTTAGTTTCTATTTATCGTGGAAAACTTATTGCTCCATCTATTTTGAATGATAGTTTTGCTGGGTAGAGTACCCTAGGTTTGAAGTTGTTTTCATTCAGTGCCTAGAATACCTCATTCCATGCTCTTCTTGCTTTTAATGTTTCTGTTGAGAAATCTGCTGTGATTTTGGTGGGTTCACATTTGTATGTTATTTGTGTTTTTCTCTCTTATAGCCTTCAATATTCTTTCTCTGTTCTCTGTGCTTGTTGTTTTAATGATAGTATGTCATGGGGAGGTTTTGTTTTGGTCAACTCTGTTTAGTGTCCTGGGAGAGATGAACAAACAAACACAAACAAACAAGAAACAGAACAAACAGACAGACAAACAAAATAAATTCCAGGTTCAGGAACAATAGAATTTCAGTCTTAATTTAAGTTCTGGTGTTACTCCTCCAGCATCCAATCCTGGCGTTAGTATTTAAGCAGAAACTCTGTCGTAGTCTCGCCAGGTGGTTAGGTAGTGTTTGTTTGTTTGTTTGTTTGTTTGTTTTTTCATCTGTCTTTCAGAGGCATCTGCTTGGTCAGCTCCTCCCTCAGTGGAGTGTGGCAGTTTAAGTTT